AGGGTGTGCACACTAATGCAACCACATTATTTTAGTTTTTTTATTTTTACTTCCCACTGAAAAACAGATTTCAGTTTGTTTTCAATTGAGTTGTACAAGTTATAGGTCACATTAAAGGTGGCTAAAGTTCTGGAATTATTTATCTTGGTCTCGTTTTTTTACATCACAGAAACCTGGCATTTTAACAGGGGTGTGTAGACTTTTTATATCCACTGTATAGCTAATGCCTCTGTGGGGCTAGTCACAAAAAACCCAAAGGTGCTTGGGCATATTATGCCTCATAGGAAATACAGCTCAGTCATTTCAGTCAAATTTCACAAAAACATAAGCTCAGCTATTTTAAACACACATAGGAAAATTGAAAATAAAAAATAATAGCTAAACAGGAAACCTGTTATTGCCAAATATACAACAGAGGTACAGTAACATGCATCCAAACAAGACTGGCAAAATAAATAGAACTTATGGTTCTATGGTGGGGGGCTAGCCTATTCCACTACCCACTTTAGTGAAATACGTGTTGAAGCTCATCAAGAGAATGCACTGAAAGAATCCATCACCAAGAAGGTTGCGTTTTGGGGTGAGCACAAGACTCCTGAGACTGAAAAGTCTTCTATTGATGCACTGTATGGTGTTATAGAGAACTGCGTTTTATTTTTATTCTTGAAAACTGGTGCAGGCTTTCCATTGTAGGGGCAGTATTGAACTGTTCATCAAAAGAAAAAAGTCCTCACTGGAGGCAACAGCAGCAGGTTGAGGGGAATTGGGCATCAGGGCTGCAGGTTCTTCTGTTGTTAGGGTCTGGCACCTAATGTGTTTTTTTTTCTGGCTGCTGCTTTTACCCAGTGCAGTGGCCAGTAGCGCCTCCTTGGAGTCAACTGTTGCAGCAAATCAAGTTTTGATTGCTCCCACAATAACTTCAGGCAGCCCAGTAGTCATCTACAATAGGCCTTTTTTTGTTGCTAAGGTTTTGGCCATTACAACTTCTAGCATTGCTTGAAGAGTTCCATAAAAACAAGTGCCCTCACTCGGTAGGATGCCCAGTGCAAATGTGAAAGGCTTCATAATTGAACAGTATCCTTTGGAGAAACTGGTATTCTCTGTTGTTCTTGCATTTATTCTGAAGCTGTGTGCAGAGATTACTGATGTAAGTGAGAGGCATTTTTGGTGATTTGAGGACAGGCATCATAGAATGAGTTCCACCATGTTACTGTGGGGGCAATCAACTTTCTATCACTGACCTCTTCCAGGCACTCTGATGCAGCTGTGGAGTAGCTGGTCTTTGTCCACAGAGCACAATATTTAGCTGTAGCACTACGATACATAATTAGATTAGATACAAGCTATTTATCAACCTCATTGTTTGCAATTAGATTAAGAGTATGGGCTGCACATCTGTGGTGGGGAGAAAGGACACATGGCCCAGGCTGGGCATCAGAATCATGGGCCATCACCATCTCCCTCCACCTCCTGGGATTCCACTTGCTGCTGCTGATGCTCCTTGAACCCATTCACAGTTACTCTCGTTGTCCGTTACACATGCAGTCACTTTATTCGTTTGTCAGTCCATATTAGGGATGTCACAATACCATAATTTTGGTAGTCTGTACCAATATCAACGAAATTCCACAATGCTCTATACCAATTTTGAATACTATGGAAAAAATAAACCAATGAAATTAATGTATTTCAACATGAATTTTTTTAAATTCCTTTCCAGCAACAAGAGTGGGACAGAGTCTTCATGTAATAAAAAGGCATTAATGTTATTTAAAACAAAACTATACTGTGCAAATCTTTTTTGACCTAACATTCCTACTGCAGTACCCAGCTGCATGAAATGAAAAAAAAAATAATGCTGATACTGTGAAAAGACAATTAGAAGATCTCAATACTCATGTAATTTGTAGCTCAAAGAAACCCACAGAGGCTGCTACACACACACACAGCATGCTAAAACACACACTGCTATATGCTGACAGGCTGAATGGTAATGTTAATGGCAGTAGTGTATTAACACTATTATAAGCAGCACCAGCTCATGTTATTTAGTGTTGCTTCATTAACTTAAACAAGCTAACGTTAGCCTTTGTGAATGTTGGGTATGGAGCAATGCTGCAACAGATACAGCGGGTGCAATTCACAAACAATAACAGTAACAATTCAAGATATGAATAATTTGTCAACAAGTTAAAAATTAACTTAACAAGGTAAACTCTCTCACTTTGAATTATTTGTACAGATCTGGATGTCTGTCTTTCAGACGCTTAGCTAAGTTCAAGGTCTTTCCTGGTGGCAAAAGCTCTGACACATGAGACACCCTTTTCATATTAGCTTTTGGCAGCCTATTCCTTGTCCCTGATCATCAGAAAAATATCTCCATATGCAACTTTAAGTGTTTTTTTTTCCCCCCACAAGTCACAGTGGACCTGTCGCTACAACCTGGGCTTGCGAATGCCATTACACGTGTTGTTGTGGTTGCTGCCTTACCTTTCTCCGCCTCTTTGCGTTTAATGTCAGACTATACGTAGGGTTATTATGCTGCCCTTGTCAGTACTGTCAAGAAATCACATCAAAATGAAGAAATCACATTCTCCGCTGCCTATGACAGCTATTACAATACTTGCTTTCTGTGGCACCAAAAGTACCACAAGCAGTGTTATA